AAATCGAATTGAAATATTTTCCTGTTATGCGTTTCGTTCATATGTTTTCTTTTATCATGATTATTACACACATATATATATATATATATCTTTATAAATACTCTTTCCTTGTTGTATTATCAAACTATATACAAATAACGCGACAACATTGATGCACGTATTGATAGCAACACATTGTGTGTGTGTGTGTGTGTGTGTGTGTGCGTGTGTGCATGAATGATAAAGTATATAGAGAATTATAATAGAACTATTATCAGAAGAATCGTTTTCAGTTTTCAATACTAACAAGTAATTCGTCGCTCTAGATATCTACAACTTAAACTAGTGATTACGAATAAGTTAGATTTATTTAGTTAGGGGTCCGAAAATTAGATTACGTTGTTTTAGATACAATATTTTACACGGGGATGCTCGTAGGACGTACTTTTTGACTGACTGAAAATGTGATTCGTGGTTGGAAAACAAGCGAGTGATATTTGAGGATAGCATTAGGAGAAGTGGGCTACATGATGGCCGGTAGAAGAGCAGTAGAAGTCCAGCAATTAATACTCTTCGGCTGTCATTGGTGCGTTCAATAGTAGCTATAAATAAATGTGCAACACATAGATAATATATATCCATATATGTAAAAGTCTCTTAGGTACACAGCAGACGTGGCAAGCAGCTTATTGCATTTTCGAAACTTCAAACTTGGTATTGATCACTTCCTCATCGGAATCGAGCACCGGTAACGCGGAATCGCCCATTGCTGATGGTATATTCTCCTCCACCCAGCGTAAATCATCCTCCTCGGTGGTGGTGGCCGACCGTGAATTCGCCGGTGTTCGGTTTGTGCCATTTTGATGTAAGCCACGGTTCTTTACGCCATACGCATCTGCCACAAACTGATCCTCTTCATCTGTAATAGATACCAAACAGCGTTAGTTTAAGCGTATTGCTCTCTGGCCTGCAGCCTACCATCATCATCCTCATCCTCCGGGTTGTCTAGCAGCGGCGTAAACGCATAACGCTGATTGTTGTTGGTGGGCCTCCACAGTATCATGATAACCAGCAACAGCACAGAGAACAAAAAATGCCAGAAGCCCGTATCTAGCCAGATATCATGCCAGCCCTGGGTGAACAAAATACATAGGTTTTATATATGCCTACCATGGCAGTTTGGAATGTCATGAGCTTACGGGTGTGCAGTTTTCGGTTCTACGCAAACGCAATGCAAACAACATAAAGATAACGGAAGTGATAACAGCGAATATCAGCGTATTGGTGAAATGTCTGTACAGCGACAGCTTAACCATATTTCTGAAAGTACACAATTTAATATAATAATGAAAGTGAGTGCATATTATGTATGTACTTACCTGCGCAGACGCAACGTGCGTGTGGTCTGCACGAGCGATGTAAATATCCACCAACAAATGACTGTATCCAGTACAGCCAGGGGAATGGTGGCCAACAGCAGCTCGCTGCGATCGCTCTTCACCCTGGTAATGCGCAAGTAGCTCTCCACACAGGCCAATATAAAGTACAAAGTGCCCATGCCCACAACGCGATGTAGCATGGGTCCCAGACGCGGTCTGGCAAGGGGTAGCATATAAAATATGATTAGTCGCAGCTTAAAGCTAAGTTCTAAGCCCAGTATATTACTTGACTATGCCAAAGCCCAGGCTCATTATGATGACCAGCATGCGGGCCAGCGTGCGCTTAGCGCAGGACACGAATTCCGCCACGAGCTCGGCGTGCTGCACTGGAAAGCCAGTATTGGCGACTGTCTGATATTCCGCATAGAAGAATGCTTTCTCGAGCATGCCCAGCAATATGACGCCGCCAATCCAGAATTGTATGCGCAGCAGATCGCGCCATTGTGCGAAGGATACGAAAAGCCAAATGATGCCAAAAATCACATAGACAACGCACATTATCAAATAGAACTGCAAAAGATAATTTCAATTTATATTGTATATTTTAACAGATGAGACTCGAAAATTGTTTTACCGGCAAGAATGGCCAATCGATGGCTGATATATAGCCATGCGGTCCCAGAAACTCAATGCGCACCGCTGCGCGAAAGGATTGGGCCGGCGTCGTGGCTAAAATGGTCAGCTCCACCTGGTAGATGCCATCGTCAGCAATACTTGCAATGGGTTTGCGAGTTGCCTATAAATGCAAAAAATAATTATTTTTATACGTTTTGCAAGCGGTAAGGATGTACCAGGATGACAATTTCAGTTGATATAGTTCTTTATATGGCTTTTTTCTTCTGTCTTATTCGCCTGCCTCTATGCCAACTGTTAGCTTAGTTTCTTAAGCTGCCTATCTATCTAAGTGCATAACATATTTGTCCTAACTCTCCTTCGGTTAGAGTACTTTCTGCTAATTGTTACATATTTTTGCACTAGGAAGGCGTGTCTACTTTTCTAGGAAAGGTGCTGATAAGATTCTTTGTCTTAACATATGTATGAACATATAAAAATAGTTAGATACAACTATTCTTTCGGGTTCTTGGTTTCCCTAGAACATTATCAGCACAGTTTAACTTCCGTATGGAACGCACACAATCAAAGTACGATATGTAAAATTCCTGATAACATTAAGTATTTGCGTTAGGTATTGTTGTTGTTGCTGTGCGTGAAATTCAAACTGAGTCACGCACACGCTCACACAGACACTCGGACTTGCTGAAATGACAATTACCGATAGCGGATGTTTGGTCTGCTTTAGAGGGTGGACATCCTCGGCCTGCAGCTCGGTGGCCGCGTCACCGGCATCGGTGAGCGCAATGAGATGCGTGCAGTTCACATTGGTTGTTGTCGACTTGATGAGCTGCCTGAAGCTAGCATTTTGCTGGAGATTCGGATTGTCGCTCAGCGCCTGCAGCTAGAAAAATAGAATATGTTAATAATTGCATTGCGTGGATGATTTCACAATTTTCGCTTACAAAACGGCCCTCGTACATACATCGATGTTTAGTCAGCTTGAAGTTTATGGTTAGCGGAATTTCCCCCTCGGACAAGCACTCCACTTGATTGTTGGTGCGAGGGGTGTAGGGTGTGGGTGGGTGTAGGAAAGAGAATGTTTTCAGTTATTGCGAATTGGTCACGTTGCAATTTTGATGCTTACGTTTTATGTATATCTTGGTGCTGGCCAATAAGGGACGCTGTTCGACAATCGGTTGCAGATCCTCCTAAATGGGGATTCGTTTTAGAATAAATCATATTTACTTTGCATTGTTTGCTTTTCACCTGCTCTATGACAACGTCAATGATACCGGGATCTGATTTGCCAGCCGCCAGAGTGGCAAAAACTGCCAGCAGCGCCAACGTGACTGTAAAATGCTTCCACATTATGTATACGTCACACGAATCCACTTAAATAAATATTTATTTATTTTCTTCTATGTTTCTGGCTACGCGTTAGAACAATACTAGAAGTTATCGGTTGACGGCCTATCGATTGTTGTTGTGTGTGCGCAGTCGAGGCGCAGCCGGTGTCTGAGCATTTAATAGGTGATGTAAATATTAAATAGTTATAACCAAAAATCATATGAATCAGACGAGTAACATTTTTTATTTGTACTTATTATTAAAATTACTATTTACTTTAGACAATTTAACTATATTTAAGGAACAGCTGTTCCAATCGCATCAACAGAATTGCCAAAATTATTGCCAGTACCAACATAGCATAACAGCACTCGTTCGCTGTGAATGGCAATGTTGTCGTTATCGGCCTATCGAATAGTCTCGAATTTTGCATTAAGTTTTTTGGTATTGCAGCTCGTTTCAAATGTTTTTACTGCCATAAAACATGGTAAATGTTATGAAAGGCGTGCTTGTGGAATGGTAAGTGTACTATTTAAACGTTTATTCATTAATTCTACAAAAGTCTACGACAGTGATCCGGCTATGAAACAATTTTTGCTACATTTGGATGAGAAGCTGGCGTTGGGTCGCAAATTTATCATACAGGACTTGGACGAGAATCATCTGTTCATCTCCACGGATATTGTTGAGGTGCTACAGGCGCGCGTTGATGAGTTAATGGATCGCATCAACTTTCCATTGCACGAGAAGGACGCCTAAATATTATTTTAAACACAACAACTGCTACAACCAAAATCATGACGGGACGCGAATCGCATCGCATCAAGGATGCGGAGAAGAAACGTGTCCTGGATGAAGCGGCAAGACAGCGCCGCGCACGCAAAGCTCTGGAGGCGCTGGAGCAAGATAATTTTCAAGATGATCCTCACGCCGATCTGGTCATGTCCAAAAAGTTACCCAAGTTCCAGGACAGCATCAAAAGTGGCAAAGAGAAGAAGGGGAAGCGCAAGGGCGCCGAATACTTTCGTGCCAAATATCGCAAGAACTTTCAACAACTGCTCGAGGAGGACAAACAGAAACCCAACTATGAGACTGCAGCCGCACCGCCGCCCAAAAAACCAGTGCGTCATTTCTGTGCCGTCTGCGGCAACTTCTCGCAATATTCCTGCACCGCGTGCGGTACGCGTTATTGCCGCGTTCGCTGCCTGCGTACACATCAGGACACTCGTTGTCTGAAGTGGACCGCATGAATTTGGTTGTAGAGCCACTCATATCATCCCATCCAAAACTATTTTGTGTTGTAATCATGCAATAAAACGAAATTATAAACAAGTGCTATCTATGGAACACTATCGATATTCGAAAGCTTATTTGAATATCGATATGTTAGCTGCTTTCAATCGATGGCGTAAAGTTCAGAGTGCAGTTGGACAATTAGTCGTGCTAACGTGGAAAAGTCAATTTAATTTAGTTTATTATTAATAATAAACTAATAAATTAGCAAACATCGCAAAAATTCGTGCGTGTTGTGCTGCGTTTCGTGATATCGAATAGTGTTGCGACTTGAAAAGCTTCGACACGCGTCCATCTCTAATCAGAGTTGTCGCCAACTCATACTCACTAATACTCGTGTATGTGTCATGATTTGTAACTTTTCGTTGTGCGGTCACACCATCGCGCAGTCTCACTTCATTTTTCAAACAAGACAGTTGCTGCGCTCGATTGTCGCATTGTAAAATAAATTAAATTTTAAGTATAACGGACACCGCTGCAAACAAATTCAGATCAAAGCAATTTTGACAAGCACTTAAATATTTTGTACACAACAAATAAACGAAATCAAAACGCAAACAGCCGGTCAAGTGCGTGTGTGCGTGTCTTCCTCTGTGTGCGCCCATTCGTATGTGTGTGTGAGTCCAAGCAGAAAAAAAAAAGGATACCAAAGCAACAAAAACAACAACAGCCGCAGCTGCAACAATTTATTTACAATGGATTTCAATTTCGCCGATCTGAAAAAAGAAGCTGCCGCCACGGCCGACGACATTTTTAGCAGTGCCACCAGCGCCGCCAATGCGGCCTCCAAGAAGGTGGCCAACACCTATGACGATTTGCTGGGCGACCTCAGCGCCGGCGACAGCGCTGGCAGCAGCGGCAGCGCAGCCAACGTCAGCAGCGGCGCACAGGATGATAATGCGCATACCGAAAAGTATTTTGCCAACGAGCAAAAGAATCTTGATTTCGGCGACCCGCAGGCTTTCGTGCAGCGCATGTCCGCTGGCGCCAAGGAGGCCCAGGAGCAGCTGGACGCCAAGTTTGCCCAGCAAACGGATGACTTTGGTGATTTCATGGCGCAGGCCGGCAAAGCCGCCAAGCACGGCATCGGCGAGCTGACCAGCGACTTTATGAATGTCGAGCGTGGCCTCTACGGAGATGCGCCCAAGCCGGCTGATCCGCCGGCTGCGGTTCCAGCTGTTGCGCCCGCCGTTCCAGCTGCTCCACCGGCTGTTGTTCCCGCTGCCGCGCCCGCTGTTCCGGCACCGCCCAAACCTGCCACGGAGCCGGAGGTAGATTTGATGGGCGGCTTCAGCCAGCCGATGAGCGCGCCACTGCAGCCATTTGCAGCCACGGCGCCAACGGCCAGCGATAAGTTCTATGACGATGACGATGATGACTACTTCAGTAAGCCGAATCCAGCAGCTGCAGCTGCCGTTGCCACTGCTACGGCTGCTGCCGCAGCTGTTCCAGCGCCCGTTGTGGCCAACAAGGATTCCGATACAGATTCGCCGTCCGCTTCGTATACACCGTCGCCGGCCAAGAAGGCCATCGCCGATGCCCTCAAGGAGCAGGACCATGAGAAATTCATCTCTTCCGAGGATCTGCTTAGTGACTTCAAGGAGGAACGTACAGCCACGCCGCCCGTGGCGCCCACAGCAGCAGCGGCAGCGGCAGCCACTGCACCAGCACCAACACCCATTCCGGCTTCAGCTACGGCTCCGGCTTCGGCTCTGGTCACCGATTTGGACGATGAAGAGATTGCTGTTAAACCGACACCCAAACCGGAGCCCGTCAAGCCCGTGGCCAAGCCCGTGGAGCCTCCCAAGGTCAAGGCGCCAGCACAACAGCCCCAAAAACAACAACAGCAGCAGCAACAACAACCAAAGATTGTATCAGTCGAGGAGATCTTCTACAAGTACGGACTTGGTGAGTGCACAAAATCCAACAAGTTAACTTCAGCTTCGGCTAGCCGAAGATTTGATGCTCTTGCAGCGTTGCCAATTGGTATTTAGAGCATTCCACCTGCATGGATGGAAAATGTGTGTATGCTCATTTTCAAAGATCTGTTTTAGGAAATCGTGCTCAAAGCTTTAAAAAAAAATTAGGGATTTTATAGGGTATCAATATCGGCTCGACATCTATTCTTGATTTGTATTCCACCTGCAAGGATGGAAAATGTGTGAAATTTGCCTTAAGCTTTTTATTAAGAAATCATACTCAAAGCTTTTTAAAAAATTATGTAAATTATAGAGTATCGGTAATTGCTAAAAGCTTCCGAGCTAATCGCTAAAGCGAGTTTCCGCTATAGTCGGAAAATAGGTGAACCACAATTGGGTTTGGTCCGGGCAAAGCCGGATTATGCTGTTATTTAATATCTGATTGTGATATGATGTGCAATATCTGCTGCAAGAGCTATCAATATAGTATTTATTGTATTTCGTTATCGTTTCGTTTCTAATTAGTTTGTGCCTGACAAATAGTCATCATTTTGTGTGTTTGTTTTTGTTAATTCCTCTGTGTATCCTCGCGACCGCACCTTGGCACCTTAGTAAACGTCACCAGGTCTGGTCACTCTGTTACTGAGTGTTGTTTTTTTTTTTTTTTTATACTTGTTAGTCATTTTTTGTAGCAGTAAACAAGTCGCTTTTTCGCTCTCTTTTCTCTCTTTTAGCCTGTGTGCCTTTTGCTTTGCGGCTTTGGCATTTTGGTTTTTGCGTGAATTTTGCTGCTTGCTGATGTCATCGGCATCAAGTTTTGCGCTGTTTTTTATGTACACAATAAAGCAACAATGCTTAAATATATTTAATGCGCATAGAATTTCACTTGCCAAACGTTTTACGTTACGGCTGGAATTTCGCATGCAGCGTCTCGCCCCCTCGCTCTTGCTCTCACTCTGGCTCTTGCTCTTAAGAGCTTTTAATTGCAGGCGATCGTCAATCGTTATCGACAATGTGACCAAATATCGATAAACACAATAAGCTAAAAAATCGATTGAAAATATCCGTACACTTTCGCTTTCCATTTGTTTGGTCAGACCGTTAGGTAATATGTCATTAGTCTAACACTTTTTACAAAATGAAAAAAAACAAAATGAACTTAATTTAAATACATTTGTCAGCTTTTTGCACCTTGCAGCAGCCGAAACGGTTAAATTGCCAGCGCTGCTCGATTGACGCCTGAGTCACGGCTGCGCAATTAACTATTGAATTAGTCAATAGAAATTCTTTAAAATGGCATAGTTTCAATGTGCCGAATCTTATTTTTTTATTATTATTTCTTATTCATGTGATGAATCAGCAGCTGTTTTTGTCTAGTTTTTTATTTTTTTTTTTTCAATGACGTGTGTGCAAAGCATTCATAATTCATATTTAACATTTATTCTTGCTGTACTATTTTAGCGTGTGTCCATTAAAGCAATTACGACAAACACACATGCACACAGGCAAAGAGCGCGCGAGAGAGAGAGGGAGAGCGAGAGAGAGAGCGCAGCTGCTGCTCTTTAAAGCACTCTCTAATTTAAGCCTTGCCTGCATAATTCGATTGTCTAGTTGGGGGCCCGCTTCGCTGCGCAAATTCATTTTAATATCAGTTTTCTATACCCTGCACACAAGTGAAAAAAAGAGCTTATTGGTTTTGTGCAATATCTGTCTACATTACAGTTTTAAATTCACAAATTGAAGGACTGTGCAACTGTAGTCTTGTGTGTTAAAATAACAAAATCCCCAGTCAATCGGTAATTGCATTTTGTGCAGAGTAGCGCGCAGTCGTTTGCGCTCGTTTTGCCTTTTTGTGTTCTGCAATCTGCGCCTTTATTTTCACCGCATGCTGGCAAAATTTTCCAATTAGTAATCTGCTTTGTTTTTATTTTTTTTCTTTTTTTGCGCTGCAATCGCGGCGTTGCCTTTGTCTTTATTTGCTATTTTTATGGCAAGTACATGCTAAATGGCTGCTTGACTGTCTGACTAGTCTGTCTGCCCATTTGTCTGTCAGTCCTTGCATTATGTGTGCTTCTTCTTTTCCTTCCAATTGGCATTGACTTTGCTGCGGCCGCTGCTGCTGCTGCTGTTTTCCGCTTGTCATCGGCCCAGCTGACGGCACAATATCGATAACGATAATGATTTTTCTTTACCAGTTGCTCTTTTGCGCATTGTCTTTGCCTGTGTGTGTGTGTGTGTGTGTGTGTGTGTGTGTGTAACAGTGCTGGCGACGTTAGAGATGCAAATAAAGGCTAATTCAGAAGGAAAATAAATAGTTTAAAAGCATGTTGGGAGTATCCAGCTAGAATATACCCTGTATTTAGTTAAGAGCTACGAAAACGTAGTTATATATTAGCAGCCAACCTATACGAAAGCCCAAATTCTAAATTTTGCGTTTTGTCTCATATAATCTTCGTGACTTAATCCTCATGATCCTGTTTTTACAATTACGTTTAAGGAAATAGCTGGATTAGGCCAAACAAAATGGAAATTCACAACACTGGCGAGCATATAAGCCCTTGCTTTGGCTTCTCTTTCATTTACTTGCTCTTTACTCTTTTCGATAAGCTTCGTTTCCCTTTGCAAAATGAATCAGAACACCCGCTAATAGCCTAAACAAGTCCAGAGTTGAATTGAAAAAAATGCTCAGCACTGTTGCATCTGGTCCCTTGCCTTGGCTTCCCTTTCTCGCTCTCCCTCTCTCTCTCTCTCTCTCTCTTACGCTCTCTACGCTTATTCAAGGTTTAGCGCGTGCTAGGCCTGCACTTATCGGCGCCTTCGCTTTGCACTTATCGCCCGCTTTATAACTGTAGACGAGTTGCCGGCATTGCTCACATGTCTATCAGAAGGCAATTAAGTGCAGCTTATAAATAGACTGTGAATATCGTCAAGAAGTTAAAGACTCGAAGTAGAAAATGCATTGTACATAATTGCATATGAACTTAGCATGCATTCAAATTGTGTTCAAGACAAAAAAAAAAAATGTGTATATATAGAGTGTATTAACAAGGCGTAACGAAATTTGTGAAAGCTCCCGAGGCGACACGCTGTAAACAAAGTGTGGATAATATAATTTTATAAATTTACTTTTTTTTTTTGGTTTTCTGTTCCAAGTGCTTCCAGTCAGGCGTGTTCGATAATGTTTTGTATACAGAGTGTTTATTGGGCCAAAATGAGAAAACAAAAAGCGAACAAATAAAAACTTCTTTGCTTTCACAGTTGAAACTTTGTTCTTATAAATAGCGCACAAAATCTTGTTTTTTTTTTTGTTTAGCTGAATTATAGAATTGAAGCGTTTATTTTGTTTGTAAATATTGCACATCAATACATGAAATTTCTTTGACATAAATAGAGAACAATTCACATATGTCGAATGCATTGAAAAACAGTTTGTGTAGAGTTCACTGCAGATGAGATAAATAAAATGAAGTACAGCAAAGAGCAGCTAGCTTGGCCGACGTTTAAATACCCTTTCTGATATATTTACAGCAGGTATATCTTTTCCTTACCAGTCAGACACAATTATCGACCGAATTATACGATAGAGTAGTAGTATTGGGAGTATAATTGATTAAATTATTACTGATTTAGATATCTAGATATATATATTGAAAAACTGTGCCTTTGATATAGTTATCTGGTTCAAAATTCAAGTTGACGGTGATTTATATATTTCTCGGTGCAAAAAGATGGCTCAATGCCAAGTTATATCTAGATATTTTTAAGGCTGCAATTTCTATCTCATTCCATGCATTTCACCTTGCATAACAAAATTAGAGAACCCTTGAGAAAGCATCAAATGGCATTTGTACATTTATATAACTGCGTTTGGGAGCGGGCAAATGGCTTATGACATTATCAGATTAAATCCGCTTTAAAGTGGAAAAGTTTTAAGTACATTTCGAATTGCACAACTTTTCTAACATATGTAGGTCATCTTCTGCTCCTCCCTCTCGATGCTTACCAATCGATTTGCTGAAAAGATGTTGTCCCTTTCTTGTCCTCTTTACCAGAATAAATATATATCGTTATAGAAAACGTGCGGATAAACTATAACTATATCAACTATAAGGGCTAGACAGATGCTCGACGCCCCGTCCGGCTCATTGATTTCATATCTAAATTTCACGCCTGCCCAAGGCGCAGGCAGAGCAAACAACAACCACATGCCAAACCCACTGCCCATGCTGCAGTCATTGCAGGCGCTGCACCGCGCCCAAAAAAAAAAAAAAAAAAAAAAGAGAAAAAGAAAAAAAAAAGCAAGAACAAAACGGAAGCCGCCGTCTGGTAATTTCCGGGACAGCAAGCCTAACCCCTAAAGCCGCCCAATACCCGAAAATGTCTACAAAAGCAGCGCATGCGCTACACCCAACCAAAGCAAACTCTACACAGCTCTACACACGGGTCAGCTGCAGCGACAGCAACAGCAACAGCAGCAATTGTTAATCGATAAAAATGTCAGCTCTAGCGTTGAGCTTGAGCTTTTTCCGATGCGGGTTCAGGGCTAACCGCGGTTGCTCAACCCAGCGTACAGGTCGCTTATCGATTTACACACTCAATCACTCTCTCTCTCTCTCTGCCTCTCTCTCTCTCTTGCTTGCTTTGTGTGCTTTTGAGCTAGTCCTTTTTAGCTCGCGACAGGCTTTAAGCTTTCGGCCTACGCTCAGTCTCTGTACGCGTCGTGAGCCTAACGGACGCCAGTGAATTCTTTATACGCGATTGCGCATATTCTCCAAGTACCGTATTTGCGTTAACGTTACGTCGTAATTTAACTAGTGCTCGCTCGCTTGCTCTCGCTCGTATTGTGCATTGTGCTTTGTTTGTTGGCTACACAATAGAAAATACGCAGAAATAAAGTACCTTTTTAATTAATTTGCACTAAAAGCGACTGCCTGTGTGCAACGGCTTTGTGAATAGTTGGAAAAGTTTTAACAATAACAGAAAATTATTGAAAATGTGTACAATTGGCGAGGCCGGACAAAATGGCGTCTGCAAGCAGCGCCCATTGATTTGCTCCATTTTGGATCCCAGTAAGTTGCACACATACACACACACACTCATTTATGGGGCATACACACATATACATACATTTAACCAAACTAACCTCTGTCAATGGATATGCGGATATGCATTTTGTCAACGACCTGGTTTAGGTGCTAGTTTTTCTTATAATTTTCCTGAAAATTCTGTTTGTTTTGCATGTTTGTTTTGCGCCTCGAATTGCGCTTTAATTTGACATTAAACACCGCCTTATGCACGCTAACTCGCCCTCTCTCTCTCCCTCTCTCTTTTCATTTATCTCTATCTCTTTCTATGTCTGTTGCTCTCGTTCTATCTGCCTTGCACAACACGAAACCTAATGCTAACTAACGAAAATCAATATATCAATCGCCTATTTGCAGATGCCTGGTTCAAGCCCGAACGTTTGCACCCGCAAGGTAAGTCTATTTTGCGCCAGAGCCTCTCAAACTGTACACAAAACTGCTTGCAACGCGCAAATAACTGTAAACGCAATTCTCGATGATTATGCGCTTTATACGGGGGCCAAATGCCATACGAAATGTTGTCTATCTTTAATGATGTCATTGTTGCGCCCCCGCAACACTACCCCCCCTCCCTGTACAGTGATATCGCCCCCTCATCCCCTCCTCTTAAGTCTGTATATATTAAGCCTTAAACTATGCCATACTTTATTTATTTCTTTTATTGTTGTGCACTTGCCCTCGTGCGTATGTGTGTGTGTGTGTGTGTCTATTGTATTTATAACAACCCTGAATACATGCTCAAGCATATTACTAAACCCATTCGCAATACATATTTTGCTATCTCTTGTTTTGTATACCCTGTGGCCGCTTAAAGGTGTACATAGGGTATAACAATATTGATCAAATTTATGTGCTGGACAGCAGAATGCATCCTCATTTCTTACAAGAAGACTTAAGCTGTTGCTGATGAGGGTCTAGATATAAATTGGGCTTGTGCTTTTAATTTATCCAAAGTTTATTTATATTTTTCAATAAACCAGAGGCTTCCCCTCAAAATGGACACAGTTGTTTAGAGGCTAGGTCCCTAGAATTCTGCGATTATTCGATTGAAGCACATCAAATGTAATATGTCAGCTAAAGCTTTGGCTAACGTAGACAACTTGATCGATATATCGATAAATTCAGTCAAAAAGCAAATAATTGTCAGCCAAACCTACATTAAAGAGCCAGAATGCACAAGTCAAATCAGATATATACAGAGACTGTTTAGAAAATATATTTTTATATTAGTTGATTAATGCCCATGCTTCACGCAAAATCGATAAATATCGATTTCGCGCGCATTACAAGTGCTGATTTGTGTGCAAGCACTACAATTGGTTTAAAGACTAAAAAGTATTTGCAAATATAATATATTTAACTTTGTCGATAACTTTGCCCAGGTACAGGCTATCCTACTGTCTTTAGAGTTCCCCCATTAGAGGAGCCCTCTATGTTTTCTTCTATTATCTCGGCTTGAAGCTTAATTTCTTTTCTTTTATTTTTTTTAATTGCGCTGTTTTGTGTACTTTCAATTTTGCCTTATACGCTTTACGTCTAAATTCGCCGGACAACGCCTAAAAGGCCACTGCGGAAAATGAACGAAAACCGCGCTCAGCGCTAAAAAGTGCACAACACAAATTTCTGAAGCGGCAAAACGCCAAAAAGGTCGGAGCTTGCATTAATTATGCCTAAACAAAAGTGTGTGTGTGTGTTTGTGCGGTTTATGGTGCCACGCCCACGTAATTAGTAGGACTACATAAATGCAGTTCAGTTACCTTCCCGTCAGCACCCCCACTGCTCCCCCCTACCCCTTGCGGCTGGCACTGGAGCGGCAACAAAATCCGTAATCGGATCGCATGCTAAGCGCTTTCATGCCGCTCGACCGTCAGCTTTTGCCATAATACAAACTGAAAAACTCTTCTCCCGTCTACAGTCAACTGCAAGCTGATATGAGGCCTGTCTGTAGTTGGGTTTATTGTGGTGGCGAGGGGCAATCCCCCCGCCTTTCGCACGGGGCTCGCATGCAATAGACTGCAGCTAAACATGCACCTTCTACATAGTATATGCAGCTATATGCATTTATATCAAGTAGTATAGCGCATTTCATGAGCTTATGAAAGCAAATACAACAACGCTTACGATTATCATCATTTCGACTGACTGGCGACTACGACTACGACGATTCTGACGTCTTTTGAGCTTTGCACCCAGCTGTAACTGCAAAACAGACTGCCGACAATCAAACAAATATAAGTACAAGTCTATGCTATATATAAACTTAATCACTTTGTGTACGAATTGTCTGGGCATGAGCTGTACTCTCTACAGATTCATATCATACTTTCAAATTGCGCTGAACAATGGAGTTTGTCACTAGTGTGGAATTTTATTGACTGTTTTTTTTTTTAATACATACGAAAAATAATTAAAAATTGCTAAACTCAGATAATCGTCTCGATTTCCTACAAATATTTCAATTAAAAATATCAATTAATACACAAATTAACATTATTCTGTTAATTTAGCAGATGTGCATGTTACATATGAATGTTATGTTAATCAGCTGTTATTTGAACTGCTTGCTTAAACTGTATAGAAGCTGTTATGTAAAGCAACTGTTAACAATAGCTTACGCCCAAATGAGCTCAGCTTCAAGAAACCTATAATTCAATATTCCAAATACACCAAAAATATCTGGGCAGTTTGCCTGTTATATTTTTGTCTATGTTAGGCAGCTGTGTTAATAGGCTAAACATCAACTGCTTCCACTTTAGTTTTATTATTAATAACACTATTAAGGATCCTATTTACTACCAATTTTGGATCATAAAATCATAAAATCTACTTCTGATAACTAGCAACAATTTTTCCTGAGTTGCACCCCGCCGTGAACTAAGCCACAAACCTGCGGCTACTTTGATGTGCCATCCGCTTGGCACGTAAAAGCAATTTCTCGATTCTACTTATGCCCAATTTTGGCTGCCGGCACTTAACAATTAATTGCAGGCACTCTCCATGCCGGCCCAGTGGGCGTCAGGCATCCCGGACTGCCCACTGTGGGCACTGAACGCTTCGAGGGCCTAGCAGGCGGCCAGTTCGTGAGTCAGTCAACCCATACAAATCTGTATACAATTCGCTAGCTTTAACTTGGCCATAAAGAAAGCCAACGAGGCGTTAAACTGTAAATCCCACGACTTGGGAAGTTAAAGTCTGACTTGCAAATACTCTGACTTGGCTTTAAAACCACAAAACTGACAAGCAGAAGTGAACCCTCTTGTAATAATAACCTAATATTAATTAAAAACTTAAAATTGTTTTACAAACGGTTTTAACAGCGCTTTATACAGCTAAAACCGCTTTTAGGACAGCTTGAAACCATATTATAAAATTTGCCAGCCAACAATTTTTTTGGTTATCTTCATATATTCAATTCCATGTACTTATTCTGTGAACCAGGTTTAGAAAATACAATCTGAACAACTCTTTTGTTTTTGAAACTGTTTAATAGCTGCTTTAAGCCGCTGAAAGCAGTTTGAAACCTCAACGAAAGCATTTTAAAAACCATTTTAATAGTTGCTTTGCAGCCAATAAAACTAATTGCATTATCTTATACCCTTATAGAGGGTGTTATAACTTTGTCATGAGATGTGTGCCGCCTAGAAGGAGACGTCTCCGACCCCATAAAATATATATATTCTCGATCAGCCAGTCGAGTTGACAAAGCCATGTCCGTCTATCCATTTGGTCCGTTTATCGGTAGAAAAATCAGTTCTGAAATATAATATAATATTCTATTTACGATATTTTTTAATCAAACTCAGCATTTGAAAGCTTTACTATCCGAACCTAACTGCGAAACCGTAGGGAAAATGTCTGCAAGGGTATCAGATCTTCGGCGTGCCAAAGATAACCCAGTCATCAAGCTAGACAAATTATTTTAGAACAATACTCTAGTAATTTTCCTAACGAAAACTTGTTTATCAGCGGCTGACGCATAAATCATGAAATACTTACGCCTATTCTGCGGTCAAACATGTTCGCATACCCTCTAAATACGGGCACGTACAAATTTCTGATTCATAATTAGAAATTGACGAGTGCTTGGTCCATTTTTGGTCATGACCGCATGCGAATAGCCGAATGGCTACAACTAAGCGAGGTAAAGCTGGAGTCCATGGTCTGGGCTTTAGTTCAGCTGCCTTTCACCTGGCTTTTAGCCGGCCGGCCGGCTTCTTATGCAATTGGCTAGAAATAGACTCGGAAACTTTTGAAGGGAAATGGCTACGTGCCGGTAACAACATTTCTATATCGAGCTATATAAATACCACTTGATTCCAGTCAAGCGATTGGCGCATTAGATCATCGGAAATGTTGCTCGCTTATTTTTGCAATATCAAACGAAATATATATATATATATATATAAATTTGCATTTATGTGCGAAGCGTATTTTGCAAATTGATAAGTTGAACAAATAAAGACAAGCGAAAATGTGCTACAAGATAATGAACGACCAGCAGTTACCCTATAAATTGAAGAACTTTTGGAATCTGAAGAATTAACAAATTCTATCAAAAAAACTATGTCATTATTAACTTGATATTTCCAAGAAAACCTTAATATATTATAATTAATTTAATTATTTCACATACAATAAGTTTTCTTCGCGCGAAAATCGGATCAGTTTTGGTCTTAAAACTCTGAAATACGCATACATAAATCCCATAGTCAAATAAGCTTTTATACAGGGTATTAATGAAAGTGAATTAAGCAGATAGCCCAATGTCTCTGATAAGAAATTTCGAGTCATGTGCCATTCCAGTGCACTTGCTAAGAAGAACAACAACAACAAAGAAGCGAACGTCAGACGGGCTGACGTCACGCGGCGGGCAGCACATTAAAACTTTTCCCACGCCTACAAACTAAATTCGAAATCCGAAATCAATTCTTTTGTTGGCGCCTTTTAAACAAAGCAGTTGAAAGCTTAGCCAAGCAAGCAGTGCACAACGCCCCCAAACAGAACCTAACCTTGATATTGCAAATGGGTGACCGAGAGGGAGAGATAAAGAGACTAAGCGCAATTGTTGCTGTTCTCAATTGTTTTTATTGTTTATTCTGCGCTCTCTCTCTCTCTTTCTCCCTCTGGCCACATCTACGTCTCTGTCTGCCCGGCCGGCGTCTGCGACGTCGACGTTCGCCTTTGCCTGCTAATTTTAGCTTTTTAGCTGTTTCGGCCATATTTGTTGTTGTCGCCGCCTAAGCAGTTCGATTTTCGAATTACGCTGCGGGCTGCAGCTGCAAGAAAGAGAGAGAGCGTGAGAGAGCTTTTCGCCGCGAGCTTTCTTCAAACTTAAGGGCTGAAACGGGTCGGGCTTTTCGAAAGATCACTAAAAGATCCGCACAGCTGTTCTA